TTATTACTTTTTTCAGTTTCTAGTTATTCAAGTTGTTATTTTGCCTTTTCTTTAATGGAAGGGCAGGAATAAATTAGAAGATGACTGTAAATGCACTTCAAAACAAGTCTCTTATAGCATTTTAATAAAGAGAGATAATATTGAATCTACTTGGTTTCTGTCATTTAAAAACAGAAATCCAAACATGTATGACTTCAGTTCTGTGGAACGAGCCCTCTGCTACAGCAGCACCCCGAAACAGACACAAGGTTGATATTTAACATTTTTGAAATATTTTATTTTCTTTTTTGTCTGAAATCACAGCCATATATTCATAAATACCTAATTACTACATTCAACAAAGAATATATTACATTACAATGAATTCAAACAAGTACATTTTTTAAAAACAGGATTTCACAGCATCTAGACATCCTCCACTGAGTAATGGGGCTATTGCATGGGCGTGCGTGGGTTGGAGACACAGGGAGGCTGAGTAAGAGGCTCACCGTACTGCACCTTCCTCCCCAGCTCATTGGCAGCTTACCTCAGCATGCATGCTTCCTCATTTACCGATAGGCTGCTCTGTTGGCTCTCCTCTGCTCTGTTTAAAAAAAAAAAAAAAAAAAAAAGACAGACTACACTCTGTTCCTCTGATCTGGCTTAGGCCTAGTTTAACATTCTGATTAAGCTGATTCTCGGAGATGCGTTTAGATCGACGAATTTCTTGACTTGCACGTGTTGGAAAGGCGTTAGACACACAGTAGACACTTGAATGTAAAATGTAAAGTCCCTGATCGCTGATGTTGGGTGTAGAAGGTCCGTCGTGTGGACTGCAACTCATTCACATGCCCCCAAATTCTTGAGGCACTTGTAAGTAATATAGTGTATGTATGGGATAGTTGTGCTTCAGTCTCTCTTTTATTTATTTTTTTTTAAATTTTGAAACACCGAAATCCTTCCCCCCTGTCACGTCAAACATCCCACCAGGGTCTCCAACCATAAGGCTGAGCTGCAGGGGGAGAAAGTTGGTGTAATAAGAGCCGAATCTCAGAATAGAGCTGATGAGGGTAGACAGAGGTTGTAAACAGGTATGCAGGGTAAAGCAAACCTTCTTTTTTTATGTATCCAGAAATGCCCAGTTTGAATCTTTATCCGATTTCCAGTCACTTTGAACATGTTGGCAACTTTGGATAGTGGTGGTCCTCAATGTGGAAGAAATGCAGGAAGGAGATGAACGGGGCCACAGGAGCAGTGGAAGATGGCTGTTCTGGTCTGAACTGCAACTCTAATCAAAATTAAGAATCCAAAATGCTACCTTTTTTTTTTTTTTTTTTTTAAATTCTTTTGGCACTACGTCCACTAATGGCTGCTGATAAGGGCTTGATCTTGTAAGGCGTAACATTATGCAAACCGTCGGATTGTTTGGAGTCCAATGCTGTTATACGGTCATACAAAGTAAAGTGAAGGTCCAATGGTAGGATAAAGCATCAAGAACCAGTTTCTTCATGTCTTAACAAAATCATCAAGTAAGTCGAGTAAGAAAAAAAAAATATATATATGTCACTGTGGATCTGGTTTCTGCATGAGGATATCACAAGCTAACTAGTCATGCCAGAAGAAGTGAAGCTGACCAGAGGAGTTGCTGAAATGGGAGTTTAAAAAGGAGACATGTTGCTGTGAATGAAGGAGGGAGGAGGGGGATGAGAGGGCAGGAGCCATGTCTCCGGACCTCTGAGGAAGCTTTGCTGAGCTCAGAGGCCGGATGAGGCGGCTGTGGCTGGGTCTCAGCTGCGCAGTGCCAGGCAGGACAGAACAAGAAGAGGAGGAGGAGTGCATCCTGCTTTCTCTCACTCTGTTAAATGTCTCAAAACAAGCTGTTCTGGCCAGCAGCAGTACAAACACTAAAAGCAAGGCTTTCTTTTCCAACCCAAAAAAAAAAACAAAAGAAAAAAAAAAAGCATAAACATATAAAAATGGCAGGCTTTTTCTTTTAAAAGAACAATGATTAAAGTAATAAAAACATACAAAATTCTTTTAAGTCTTCATATTATATACAATACAAGGCTGAAGCACCTTTTAAAATTCTTATTTTCAAATTTTCTATTTCGAAATAAAACATTTCCTTAATTCTTTCCAAAAATGTGCATTTTCTAAGTTCTTCCCTAATTTGAACAGTTCTTTGTTGTAACACAGTACCACCAGGTAGTTCTTCAGCTTCTATTCATAAGTGCATTTCCAGTTCAAAAGCTCACGTGGCCGCTGTTCTAAAATCAGTCCCAACTGACCAGAAGCCTTCGTTTGGAGATTTGGAGCTTTCAAGTCTTGTGACGACACCCCTCCAGGGGTAGCTGCCCCCTCATTGGCAGGATTGTCTGTGTAGCTGTGGCGGCGAGGGATGCAGGGACCGAACAATAGAGCAGCAGGGACTGAAGAATGTGAAAAGCAGGTGCCTGTGTGTGTGTTGGTGTGTTGATCTTCAGCTTCTCCTGCCCCGTACGCTCGCTGATCTCGGGGTTGGCTACATTGGCACACGGTAGTGGCTTGTGGTGCAGTCCCTGGCTAGCCACAATCCAAAGACTGCCGGTCCTTCACTGAATGGTCCTGTCTCCTGTGCATTCACCTATCTATGCATTCACTCACTCCATTCATTCATTCACTCATCTTATCTAGCCAGCCATATTCTCCGCCATGGAGCCATGAGGACCAGGCCATGAAAAATAAACTCTGGGTGTCAGTCTGAAAGGGGAGGTGGCTGGGGGCCCGGGGGGCCCATCGGATCGGCGTGTCAGGGTCACCTTGGAGGGTAGCCTTTGTAATGGCCGCCTCTCGGCCAGTGCGTCTGTGGCAGCGTCAGACACTTCCTGAAGTGCTCCAGCTCTGCTTGTAGCTTCTCCCTTTCCACTGCCAGCTTCTGTCTCTGGGACATCAGCTCCTGTGTGAGCAAGGATGGAGGACAAAATGTAAGAATAACAGAAAACTCACAATGTCAGCAATGCAAAAGGTGAATAACACTATTTAACCCTCCTATTAACTTCAAGGTTCAAGGTCTTTGTTTGTCTTTATTATAACTTTGGGGTCAATTTCACCCCATTCAATGTTTAACATCTCTAAATAAGTCGACATATTTTTTTTCAGTTTTATTTAAAGGGCTATTTACACATAAACTTGGGTAACAATTTTTATTAAGATTATTTTCTGGAGGTTTAAATTTCTTTGAACCCAAGGATAAAAGATGTCAGTAAATTTGAAGATAATAGGAGTGTTAAAGGATTGGAGAAACAACAATACGAGCCGGATAAAGCATAGTGTAGCTCTATAAACTGCTGACAACCCTGTAATAGATTGGATAAAAAGCTTTAGCATTTTTCTAGAGGGACATCATTTAGTTCCAGGATTCCAGGCCTCTCCTCTCTGCTCCCTTGCACCTCAAAAGTTAAGAACAAAACTGGTCACTTTTAAATTTCTTTAGCAGTTTATATGGGAGCATGTGAAAGTGTCTGATCAGAAGAATGGACCTGCTCCTACGTATGGCCACAGTTTCTTAGCAGATCACCCTTATGATCCCCCACTCACACCCAACGCTCATATGTTTCATCATTTCACTTGAATTGAATATTTGCCTTTTTGACCACGGCTACTTTCTCTGTGTGGCGTTGTGATTGTGTCTTACCCCCATGCTATGAGACAGCTGCTCAGCAGTCAGACTGAGGTTGTAGTTCTGAGCTTCTAGTCTTCGACACTGGCTCTGCAATACTTGTCGTTCCAAACTTTGCTCTAAATGACACCACGGAACAAGAGAAAATGGGGGAAAAAGATGACAGGGTTAGAGTTAGAGAGGAACGCAAGTATTCTCTAAGAAGAACCCAGATAAGGTTCTCTATAAACAAGGCTAATCTGGAACATAAAAAAACTACATCATCATATTTAAAGATCTTAAAATACACCAGCGATTCAGCTTATTTTAACTCAATTTCTGGTATAAATACTGATTAAACGTTTATTTGCATTTAACCGAGGGATGAATACCGCCCTCTGGTGGTGACAGACTGCTAAAACAATAAAAATCCTCCTGTATTTTCATTTTCAAATTGACTTGCATGTAGTTTCTAGTTTGTACTGTTCACTTTCGGCATCTATCTTTTATCTTTTACATGCATATCTCTTGAGTTGTTTATTTTCTTGCAAGACTTTAACGTTTTTTTCAGTTTGTCACCAGCAAAGCTCTTAATACGGCAGAAACCTGAGTATGAAAAAGGCGCTATACAAAAACTACCTTAAGTGAAAAACAATATGTGACCGTGCACCATCACACAAAAATGAAAACAATTATTTACACAGTGATTGTTTAAGAAATATGAAATCTGCCTACATCATATAAAACTACATATAGCTCATATATGGAGATTAAATAAAACAGAACTGTTTTCTAGCAGCACTATAATCACTACAATGTGGCTGCTTACCTTCAACATATTCCTGATAAGCTTCAAATATAGATTCAATCCCCTGCCACTTGGAAACGGGAGCCTCCTCTTCCTCGTCCTCCTCTTCCTCCTCAGAGTCGTCCGGACCGGACAGGTCCTCCCTCATCCCTGAGGCCTCCCTGTGTGAGGGCACGGAGAAGTGCTGCCCGTTGGGCTGAGGGTGGGAGTGTGAAATTGGATGGGGAAACGACTGGGCATTTGAGTGAGACTGCGAATGAGGCTGCGGTGGTCGGCCAGGAGCGCTCTGAAGCTCTGGAATGTTGTAGTGAACAGAGGACTCCTGGAGGTGGGACGACTCCGACGCCCCTGTGGCGCCACCTGCAGGACAAAGATGGGAGAGAAGAAAGAATTGTCATATTATATTCATCAACAACCGTGACGACATAATCAGTCAGCCAACAAAAAAACAGACAGCGACTTTGGTCATATACTATTTTTGATAAATCATTTATTGTGCAAATTAAAAACATTTGCAGGTTTCTGCTTTTCAAATGTTAGGATTTGCTGACCTTCTTTACTGGTTTTTATTGCTGTATTTAACAGAGACGGTGCTCATTAATAATGCAGCACAATTAGCTAAGATGCTATTTTCCATCTGTAGTCCCACGTATATGTAATTGCAAATCAAGTATTTGGGGATTTTAGAATTTAACTCTGACAAAACAAGTAATCTGAGAGCTTTTTATTTATTTTTTTATTTATTTTTTTACTATTTTGGGACATTTTTCTTAGAAAATGCAAATTGGTTGCAACAATACTTCAACCTTGAGGACCTCATTTTTATGATGACATTTACTATATAACTGGTGAAACTACAGTCACTCCAGCATCACAGCGTTTGGCCTGTTGGGATTGTTTTAAGTTTTAACACAAGATTTTTTCCCCCCATTATCGGTTCATATGTGATGCGCTCCCTTGTCACACTGCCTCCTGCTGCCCGATAATCACTTTTGTAAAAACATCTCTGTCACCATAGCTTGTGCCGTTTACCTTTGTGTTTCTGCAGAGCCTTCTGAGTGGACTGAAGCACAGATTCGTGGAACTGCTGGGCAAATTCCTCCGGGGTGAAGCTGTCCCAGGGTTTTGTGCGTCCGTTGACGCTGTGAAGACCCTCTTTAGCCTGCAGGGGGAGCGGGAGCCGCAAGCTGTTTAGCAGGCTGGAGCTCCTCTTTGAGATCGGTCCCTCACTGGGCCCCCGGGCCTTGTCTGGGTAGACAGCTGGAGAAGGGGGTGCCTTTGGTCTTAATGTGTCTCCAAGGGGTTTTGGGTGTCCATTGGGGGACGCTGGGCAATGTGAGGGGGGGCTGTGTGGTCTGACATTGTGGTGGTCTTCTGATTCAGAGGGAGGCTGGGCAAATGCTGGATCTGCAGTCATTCGAGCATATGTTAGTCATGATGAGCATAATTCACATTGCTACAGATGTAATGCTGCAGTTAGTGAATGTTATTCATATTTAAAGCTCCTATTCAGATCCACTACATAAATCAACTGACTAATACTTCAGGAATAGGAAAATGTGGATGTTTATGTTCGTTAGGATGGGCCTTACCGGAGATGTGTGCTGGAGGGCTCTTACACAGCGGATGAGGTGCGTGTCTGATGGTATCCAAGGTTACACTCTTTTCTTTGATGGCCTGAAGCAGCTCCACCACCCTTTCATTATCTAAATAGGTAAAAACAGAAGAAAAAAAAACAAAACACTGTTACATTAACTGTTGTGTCTGTCCTACTGATAGTTTTACTTTTCCCAGTGTTTGTGTGAAAGAATTGTATTGTGGCTGCATACTGCCATCTGCAGGCAGCAAGCAGGAAATGCAAATTACTATAAACCCACTGCTGCCACTCCCAATTCAGTCTGTGTTTTTAAAGAACAGTTTGAAATTCTGACCTTACTCATTTTGGCACTGCCTGACACAGCTTAAAGGGCTAGTTTGTGGTTTAAGACTTGTTTTTTCAGGCTAAGGTTAGAATTGTGTCATGAGGGCATTGGGAATAAGCATTAGAGGGTCTAGGCAATGCATTATGTCGACAAATATCTTCACAAAGACAGAAATACAAACGCGTTTGTCCGTCCACACAAACCGAACCTTGACTTATTTCTGCTTTCCTAACTAGGCCAACGCAAAGCATTGCATGGTGCATACATTGTTTAATACATTCTGCATAAAATACGGGATATGAGGTTGACATGATCATTTTTTGATCCTCTTATAATTTCCTCTGGGGCCTGAGTCAGCATATTACCGAGAATGTAGTGCAAGTAAAGCAGGCGGAGCGCCGCTGAAGTGAAGCATTAGCGAGCCGTGGAACCGGCCAAGAGCGAGTACGACTTCGTAAGAGCTAAACGAGCATGCAATCAGTCTTCCTTACTCTGCTGAAATGAGATGTCGAAGAGGAAACGTATGAGTAACTGATGGAGATGTTTGTATTGGTTTGTTAAGGGCACTGGGTCAGCTCTATCCGTTTCTAACTAGCTTGCTAAAGGCTTACCGACTTATTCTCTGTTTTGCCTTAAGATATCATTCAGTCAGTGTCAATTAAAAAAAAATACTCACGATTATTTAATTCTGATATTTTACCACTTAAAGCACAAGAGTTGGCCTCCTCGACGTGCCAATTCTTTATTTAAACAATGAGGGAGCCATGCTTTATTATTAAGAATGGCTGAGAGGCATTGTTATGCACAGTTAAGTCTTCCACTAATTATTGTAGTTCTTGAAACATAATTAAACAAAACGATTGGTAAGCGACACTAAAGAGCCATATTTAGAGCAACTTAAGCAGAATCATCTGTATATATTTACCAGGGGGCTTTAGAGCAGCTTTGCACATGACTAAGTAAATTAAAGGTGTTGGATGGAGAGCCTGCTCCGTAGACCGGTCTTAATCTGTATATTACTAAAATCCCCTTACCTCTCCTCTGCTGTATTGTGACGTGGGACAGTCTAAACATGGTGAGGAATCGCTTCTTATCCTCCAGCTCTGGGGCTCGGTCCATCTCCTCGGGGGTGAAGCGTGTGCTGAGCTGAGGAGGAGGGGGAGTGCGTTTGGATTGCGAGGCGGCCGGCGAGGGACTGCGCTCCCTGAGCATCCTCCTCCTCTTCCTTCTCTTCTGATGCACCAGCTCATCCCGCCGGCCCACCGTGGTCAGTCCAAACACTCCAAGAAAGTCCAATTTCTGTGCAGAGAGAGTGGAGGAAAAAAAAACAAAAAACCCACAATCACCTTCCTGCAGTGGTTCATCATGAGGGCGTGCATGTTCTTCCATCATATGGAAAACACAGAAAGCGTACGTGCCGGCAGGTGTTTTACCTCTGTGGAGTCATCCAGCTTGAGTGGGGGCTGCTCTGCTACTCTCCTGAGATGGGCTCTCACCTCCTCCTCATCACTCTCATCGTATGAGTCATCCAGCTCATAGTAGTAACCTGCAACACACACACAGAGGTCACTCCTGACACCCCACTTTTCAAATCCTCTAATAAAGATGGCCATTATATAAATATATATATATATATGGTGTATGATTTTCCAAGCATGTAAGCGTGCAGGTTATCAGGTGTATTCGTATGCCTGTGGTGAGTACCTTTCTCCCGGGCCTCCCGTCTCCTCTTCTCTTCCAGGTCCAGCTTGCTGACGGGCCTCCGGTGCTGCTGAAGGAACTCGTCATAGATGAGCATCGTGTCCGGACCCATCCCCAGCGTGGTTACCTGCCCCATCCCTGGCACAGGAACCATCCCTAACCCTTGTCCGTGTCGACTGTGCCCCGGGTGTCCCTGAAGGCTTTTTAGTCCAGCATTGCTTTTTATGGCTCCCTCCAGCTCATACTGGCTGGACAGAGACAGTGATGCCCTCTGCTGGCTTAAGAAGGTCTGGGTGGATTTCTCAAGATCAGCAAGGAATGTGCTGGGCTCAGGCAGAACTGGAGGACCTCTCAGAGGGGGATATTTGTCCATCGCTCCCCCGTCTCTCCTTCGGGGTACATCCTCATATTTGGAGGGCCCCGGGGGCAGCCGACTGAGCTCATAGTGTCCCATCCCTGAGGGCTCGTGGTTGCGTCTGGACTCTGAGGCTGTCTCTATAAGAGATGCAGGGTTCCACAAGGTGGTGGGAGGCGGAGGGTGGTGGTCACGTGGTGGCTGTGGAGGTTTCGGGGAGATGAGGGGCGGAGGGGCACCTAAGTGAGGGTGGAGTTCCCGGCTTCCTGGTTCATGGTGATTTGGTATGGATCTGTAGAGATACAATGGAACAGGAAATGCATATCTGTTAGACATACAGCGGCCGTATCTCTTGTAAAATTGAGAAATGGTGTTTCCCAATCACACATCCTCTGCAGAGACACACAACAGTGCTCATATGCCTTGCCTACTTCCTTTCATCCATGTCAGTATGTCTGTGGATTTGCATGTCTGTGCAAAGCAGTGTTATCAAGCCCAGGCAGAGTAGCCCAGAGCAGAGTGAGGATGTGGCCAAGGCACACACTGTCCTCCAGATATACAGGCCTGTTTTTGATCTGTTAGGCTCTTGTAGTGAGGCATGCGTGCACACACACACACACACACACGCGCGCGCACACACACACAAATACACACACACATTGAAAGAAAGCAGTATACTGAGGAAGAGGAGGCCAAGAGAAATATTCTCCTGACAGATAGGCTGACAGAGTAGAAAATGACTTGACGTAGAGAGGGTGACGGATTGTTCAAAAGGGAATTAATCACAATTATTGATGAATGTAGAGGACTATAGACATAAAGGAAGAACAGCGGTGAAAAAGGCAGACTTGAAAAGAAAAAAAAAAACGGTGTAGTGGTGAAAAAGAAACGGTAACAGTAAGGAAGGCAGATGGCTGATGGACACTGTCTCAAGCATCTTTCCAAATCAAACCTGGCAGGAGCACACGCTGCATGACCAGTCAAATTATCTATGCCTCCTGTTTGTGTTTTCATTTCTGTGTGTGTGTGAGTGAGTAAATGTGTGTCTTATCTGCAATCTGCAGCCTGTGAGCTGTGATTCTGCGATTATACTGTAGGGTTACTGATAGCAGACCTGTGTGTGTGTGTGTGTGTGTGTGTGTGTATCTCCTGTCCTACCGGCATTAACCGCAACCTCACTTCTGAATCTCACACACAACACAAACACGGGCACAGTAACAAAGGAGGTTAGGTAGGGGGGCTTATGCTGCAAGGTTGAGAGGATTAGCCGAGAATTAGCCTTTGTGTATCTTAGCAGTCCCACTCGCTGCCTGTTTGAAACCCCTACCCATTCCTGCTCATGAAACAACAGTCATCAGGATCCCACTTTACAAGCTACATCAACACCTAAACATAGCCGCCTGTTTTCCTACATGTCAGGCCTGGAAGGTAGCATGGACAGAAATAGAGTAGATGTGATGCTTCTGACAGGGTTTATCTTTTTTCCAGTCCTGCCTGAAAACAAACTTCTAAAGCCTGCCAGCCTCTGAGGCTTCAAAACACAGGCACAACTGTCCCTATCAGGCTAGCAGAGACAGCCAAAAACCCCAGAAATAGTGTGTGCACTGAAAACACGCACGCATTTTAGTGTCACAGAGACTCCAGAACTGCTTGTCTCTATCAGATAACACGGGCCAAACACCTCTGCAATTGCCAAGTCAAATCAAAAATAAATACTGCCATGGCATGTGGTTAGAAAACCTAAGTCTGTTTGGAATTTCTGCACCAATTGGCAGGATTACACCAAGTTTAGCTTTGTGAGCGCCGTCTCACCTGTGTGAGTCTGTCCTGTGATCAGGCGTGTCGGCTGGTCGGCCCAAGTCCAGGTGCTGCTCCAGAACCTGCTGGCGGAATTCAGACACCTGGTACTGACGATCCTCTTTCTCTTGGCGCAACTTGCGTTGCCGCGCCAACCACCTCTCCTCCTCATTGGTCCTCTGAGTGATCATTGAGGCCGAGAGCCCTGGCCCTACAGCGCTGGGCCCCATGTAGAGGCCGTGGCCTGGTATTAGACCAGGGACGGGATGATGTGATTGGACCACTGAAGAGTGCATTCCTGGCGGGACTGGTTTGGGAGCTGGAAGTGCGGGCTCTTTGGTTTTGTCTGCAGAAAGGCAAAAAAAAAGTTTGGGCTGTGATTATTTTCACGTGACAATTGTTTTCTGAGTTAAAGGTGGACTCTGTGATTCTGCAGAGAGATGGCTGATATTTAGCTATTTAGCATATTCAAACTGTTAGCCCCTCGCTCCCACTGCCACCATCTCTACTCCTGCAGCCTTTCTCTTTGTCCTGTGCAGGAGCTCGATCATGTGCACCGTATGCGCTGAGATAATGCTGTGTGGATTGGTCTGAGCCATTTTGTTTGTTACTCCACGTACACAGCCAAATGTTTTTCAGGTCACACACAGAACGGACAGCTAGCAGACCAAGAGGGGATAGACGCTGAAGAATCACTGACTTTAATTTTGTTATTTTGTCCAGTGCATAAAACGAGAAAAAAATACTGAAAATTAATGCAACTGGAAAAGAGCACTAGCCCTCATTATCATTAATTGTTACACATTTATTACTGTTTTTAGGGACAAATGTTTCTAAACAGTAGGATTGCAGCTTAATGTGGCTACATGGTGTGCATGGACACATACCAGCCCGATTAGGGGTTAGTCTCTCAGGCTTGGTTCGTTCCTCCTGTCCTCTCATTGCATGGAGCTCGGCCAGGTAGTGGTTCTCCATGGCCTTGGACGCCTGCAGCTCCTTCTCCCTCAGTGCCCTCTCCTTCTGTCTCTCCAGCTCCTTCTCTCTCTCTCTCTCCTTCTCCCGTTCTCTCTCCCTCTCCCGTTCTCTCTCGCGCTCCCTCTCCCTCTCCAGCTCCTTCTCCCGTTCCCTCTCCCTCTCCCGTTCCCTCTCCCGCTCCTTCTCCCTCTCCGCCTCGCGCTCCCTCTCCTTTTCGCGCTCGCGTTCTCGTTCGCGCTCCCGCTCTCGCTGCCGCAGCTCATCCTCCAGCTGAAGCCTAAAAAAAAAAAAACACACAAAGTGGACAAAGAAGACAAAAGAAGAAGAAGAAGAAAAAAAAAGGGTGTCAGTGAAATTGGAAAGGACAAGCCACAATGGCGGCACAGCGCTCAGATCCACTCCATACGCTGGTGACCGTATGTGTACATGAATTAAGGGGATTTTACCTCTCAGACTGCAGTGCTGACAGTGAAGGATGTGTGAAGTCTCCAGGGTAACGGACCCCTGGAAGGTGCATGTGAACAGCAGAGGGATGGATGGGGGGTAAAGCTCCCCCTGTTGGCAGCGGATAGAAAGGCGACCTCAAAGCAGAGAGGCAGAACGGGTCATCCATCCTGAGAGAGAAGGATTACAATAAAAAAAAAAAGAGAGAGAGAGAAAGAGGGAGTCAGTCTCCTCGTGTGACAGCGCAGCGTTCACTTTCATTAACCTGTGTGCCTCCATCTCCCAAAGAAGCGACATCACGACATCCTCCATCTTTCAAGGAAACAGCAGTGTCTGTCAGCCAACCTCAATCACCACACAACAGCCAGCAAGAGACTCTGCTGTATGTTGATGCACAACTGTGTGCTTTTGTGTGTGTGTGTGTGTGTGTGTGTGTGTGACATCCACAGCTCAACCCCTCATTAAATCCATTACAGCGCAGTGTGTGATGGGTGCTGCAGTCCTGTGATCTTGCTTGGTTGACAGACCAGGGGCACGCAGCCTGTGTGATAGCCCAAAGCGAGCGAGGCCTTTCTCAACACACACATACGATCGCATGTATTTAAAATATATTTACCTTCAAGAAAAATCTCCTCTTGTTTTTTGATGCAGTTTTTTTTTTCTTGTTAATCTTTATGCTTTTTTTTTTCTTCCTTTTTCGCTCTTGTAAAGAACACCAAAGCACCTAAAAGCAAACCTTGTTTTCCTTATAAGAGAATCCACAAAACACTGTTTCGGAGCAAGATCTTTTCCCTGACGTATAAATAGTTCAGGGATTCTTTTAAGGTTATTTCTCAAAAGCAGACATGAACAAGCTGCAGACGTATGGGGTTTAAAAACAGCAAAAAATACCTGTAGTTCCCCTTGTGTTATTTTATCCACGGGTATAATGGGTTGTGCTCCAAACTAGACTGGTGTATGCAGCGTCAAATCATATAGAACTTGAGCAAATTTATTGTTTTTATTCATTTCAGTGTAGAAAAATATTTTAAAATGTGGACATTTTTCAAATATTCTAAATTTTTTTGGGAGTACCATGTTTTATGTAGAATTGCATTGACATTTAGCAAACAAAAAACACAATTCCAACACCTCTGAAGGATATAAATGACATCACAACAACATTTAGCAGAAGACAGTGAAGTATACTGTATTTTTAATTCATGTCTTGTAAGCCTTTTGACAGATTGACCCAATATCTGCAAACAGAGGGTTCTTCATAGCAGCCCTTCAGATGGTACAGTTTAGAAAACTGAGCTCATGTGTTGCACAGAAGCATCCCAGTGCTCAGTGCAAAAATGCAATATTTAAATTAATACTGTCACTTTTTATTTTTGCAGACTTCCTTCCTTGTATTTGGTCACACTGCTTTTTGTTTGCCTGGGACCCGGCTTTTCTCTTTCTTTCTATTTGTACTGCCATCCGTCTTAGTCACATCTCAACTTCCATGCATGAACCCAAATCTCTCTCTCCTAGTTACATAAATATAGAAATAAAAGCCATCAATAAAATATTTCACCTCTGGGAACTTGAATTCAAGGTCAGTCACGCACTAATGCATTTACTGCTGAGTCTAAGCAGTACAAATACTCAGTTCAGTTATACACGCTGGTTTTGCACAGTTTGCTCTCAGAGGAAATGGATGCCAAGTCAACAAAACAAATTAATGGCGAGGCTTACCTGTATGGCGTGAAGGAGGGGTGAGGCAGGTAGCTGGGATGGTAGTAGGCAGCTGCAGCAGCTGCCGTCGCTGGGTCCAGGCCCAAGGGCAAAGAGGGCATCCGTAGGGCGTCCTCAGTTGTGGCATAGGGCCGGAAACCCCGCAGGTACTCCTCTGGTACTGGACCAGGGGGCACCGCATTAGGCAACTGTCTGGGCAGGCTGAAGGTAGCAGAACGAGTAGAGGAACAACAGAGAAAAGACACGGTTAGCTTTATTTGTGTGTGCTCACCGTCGTGGAAATTCATCAATTTTCACCAAGAAGCGGTATAATTTCCAACAATGTCAACAAGACAAATGTGTGTTGCTGCTGCTTATTCCAGCGAGCTTAATAAACCCATGAAATATTGATCATACACTTATATCAAAGTGAGCAGACGTTTCCGTTTAAATTGAAAACACGTACACTTTTGCAAATCCAGAGAAAAAAAAAGACAAAGCGCTGTTTGACTCACTTAAGGGGCTGAAAACGTGAATCCTGCATGACAGCACCGGGGGTGAGACCAAAGGCATAGGGGTTTCCCAGGAGGTGAGCGGGGACGGAGGGGCCACCCTTTTCCTGGGACAGGGTCCCCTCTGCACCCAGACGTTCCCTGCTGGCCCCACGAGGCCCCGAGTCAGCCTGGAGAGAGATACAGGGAGAGAGTCTTAGTCATTGTTCGCGAGGACCTGTGACCGTCACGGTTGTCACTGCTCATGGAGCCCATCCTGTGAGGGGGGAGGTTGAGCAAAGAATAGGCCTGTTTGTGGTGCGGCTGCCTCCCTCACCCTCTCTTCCTACCTCGGGCACTTTTATACACTTTCTCACACACACACCAGTCTGTAAGAATAGACAGCTCCACATTGCTCTGAAGAGAATATATGTTAAAATGAAAGTAGCGGGCAGGGAGTAGTTAAAAAAAAAAACAGCCTCACTGTTTTCTCCTCTAATTGTAAACAAGAGATGTCATCCTTATGATCGATGAGGATGTTTTTAACGGTAGACAACAGCAGCGCTTCCACGGAGACGATGACTTTGATCGCAGCGATGTGTGCGTGCGTCCACGAGTGTCTGCACATATCTTACGCATTGTACCATCTACAGGGAAGACTACAAAGTCCAAAAAGCAACATCCCTCTGTCTCTGTTTCTCTTTCTTCCTTCTTCTCTTTCACCTCCCTCCCTCCCTCTGGCAGCAAGCCTGGTCTCACTTATCCAATCCCACAACAAACACACACAGACACTCAGCAGGCACACACACCGTTTCAGAGCTACAAAGACATCCTGCTGTGGGAGTGGGAGTGCATTTTCTGAAGCTTTGGTTTCCCTCTGCCTACAAATGCAATTGCAGTACTGAAAAACCTACAACCCTTGTAAGCTGCACAAGGAAACTGTTTATAGAGGGATATACAGTCAAGGAGGATTTTCATAGGAATGGTATGAACATTCATCTCTTGTCTTGCAAAACGAGACTTGAAGCCGAAGTTGGCGAGGGAGCAGCTCGAGAGAACAGAAAGAGGGAGGAAAGGAAAGATAGAGATGAAGCCATAAAGACGGTGAGCAAGAGGAGAGGGCAGTTCCTGCCCCACTAAATTAACCTCTGGGCGCCCTGGGATTAGAGACAGACCTTACAGCACTACTGTCCTCTCTCACTCACTACTGCCTCTGATAAAACAAATCCCATTTAGTGAGCCATTACCTTCACGTCCTGTTCCACAGCCAGTGACCCGGACTGACACTGATGCGCCAACATCCAATCTTAAATGCCTCTAATGTTTAGACTCCCTACATGACCCTTTGTTTCTTCGGCACCCCCCCCCCACCATTTTCCAGTAGTTTAATGTTACTGTGTGCTCCTTGTTGTTTGTCGCGCTTCACTAAACAGTATGGCACTTTATTCCCTCCAATCTCCCCATCCCTACAGTCATCCTCCCCCCCTCCTCCTCCATCCTCGTCCTTTCAAAGCTTTATGAGCACAGGGAGAGAGTGGACTTTCCCTGCTGGCCCCAGCAGCCAACTGGAAAAGAGGTTCATATATGTCAAAAGAAGTCAGTATCTGATAGTTGCTTGGGAACCACAAAATGTGTTTCTGTTTGCTCTCTGCTCCTTGTCATTCTTTTCCCTCTGTGTCTTTTTTCTTTATCTGGCTCGCTGTCCAACAATACACTGCTGATGGGAGGCTATCCGGAAGCTCTTGTGATGCTTACGGCAGACAAACAGATGTATTTATTCACTATCTTTTCTGAATCAACATTATCTTTCACATTGAGTCTTGCACAGATGTGAATTTCTTCCATCCCTCCACTCATTAGCATCATAAAGCTGCACTGCTGCAGGTATACAGAGACTGGTGAGCAGTAATAGGTAGTGTGAAAACAAGAGGCTCTGCTTTCACTCACACTGTCAGTTAATCAATCGCTATAATCAGACCGATGACAGCTTTGCTAACAAAGTGATCAGTGCTTAGCGAAGACGTCGTCATTGCCTGAACATGACTGGTGCAACAGGTCTGTGTAATTATTTATGCATGTTTGTTACGCCATGTGAAGAACAACAACATCTAAATGTAATTAATGCTGACATTAGACCAAACAACACGCCACCGAACACTTTTACTGACACTTTAAATAAAAGAATCTGCTCAGGAAGCAACATAAAAGGTCAGTTATAATTCACACAAGTGCTGACTGCTACTTCTTTAGTACGTATCTCATGACCGTGAGTCAAATGTGGGTCGATTCTGTGTTTGTATCCAGCGTCATTGTGTGTCACGGAGGCTTGGCTTCATAATTATGGTTATAACCCAATAACTGTCAATTGGTGCAACTCCCAGACAGATTATAGATTGAATCAACTGTTCCTTTAAAACAAATTTCACAGTAATCCCACCATAAGAGGATGGAACCACAGCAAAGCGTGGTGTAGTTTTCCCACAGCTTCATGCTTTCTCAATGTTACCGAAAGCCAGCGAGTCCCTCTGACGTGTGCGATTATCAAGAAAAAGGAATACAGACACTTTACAGCATGTGCATATGGCCACCATGCTGTGTGCACATCAGTCCCCACTTATGCATGTTTGCATGAATGTACGGATGCACGCCTACAGAGGAACATGCAAAGGTGTGAATGTAAGAGGTCAGACCCTTGAAAAAGCCCACACCGCCAAGACTGAACCTTCCATCCCCATTAGAGAGACACCTTCGTCACTCTAGCACCTACACATTCATCCAGCCATCCCATTTTGACCTTTCACCCGCCAAACAACACGGCCTTCTATTCTCAAACACACACTATTCACCAGTAGCCTGTCATGTACACACTACAGAACACAAATACAAGCACTCAAACTCAAAGACACATCCATTAACAGCCATCTTCCTCTGTACGAGCCAGGCCCCTGTAACCCTCAGTGAGGGTGGGAGACCCCGCGCATTGTAGAGTGCTCGTTTACGCCTCTCAGATGGAGCCATGAATCCAAATTGCCAATTATAAAGCAATTACAGGCAGCAGCGGGAGCAGACTCCTGCAGTCATTAAAGCAAAATGCCAACGCAACAAACCCTCCCTCCTTCACTGCCTTGCCTATCACCCCCCTCTGAAAGACAGACTCATATCTCAGCCAGAGAGACACTAAAATACCCTTCGAACACAGAGAAAGCAGGACACATACATCTGTATACACAGCAACAAACAAGTTTTTCTTGGACACGTTGCAGGGGATCCAAAAAAACAGCGTGCTGCCTCTGTATGTAGCAGTTTCCCTAATTTGTACCCACACAGATTTAGCTATGTTTAGGAGGACATTCTGATGGTGTGTGCATCCTTCATCTGGCTCTTTGTGACCACTGGGTTATGTGTGCTTGCTGAAGCTGCACAACAGAAATGGGGGAGATGCTATGACGCCAGCTTTCATGACACATCCGTCCTGCTGTCCCACTAACCTCTACCCCCTCCATCCCAACCTCTTGTCCGCATCACCTCCTCTAACCTCCTCATTCTTTGGCCGGGTGGCCCCGAGCCGCTTGCAAGGGGGCACCATGAACCCGGTGACATGACCTTTTCAATTTGAGCTTGACCTCAGCTTTACACATACAAGCAACGTGCAAAAGCACACGGACACATGCGGGCAAACATACACAGCGGATTAGCGACAATGCGTGCGGTGGGAGCTTCTGCCCCTTTATTTTTTTTTCGCTGCTGCTCTTTGAAAGTGCCATGCTGAAGGAATGGCAAAAAGGGTGACATCACTGTGAGAATTGCCCCCCTCACCCGTCTCTCTCTGGCCCCTCCCAGCTCCGGCTGACCCCTGAACTGCGGAAGGGTCATTTCGTAAAAGCTATAGCTACAGAGGGTGAGGGCAAGAGAGAGAGAGAGGGTGGGGGGTGTTTCCAGGAGACGGCACAATGGCCTGAATGCTAGCACACATTGCTGGCTGGCTGGCTGACCTCCTTACTCACCCTTTGCTATCCCCCTTCTGTGAGTCTCCGGGGAACCGTCAAAGCGTCTCGGAGAGTTTCCACATGTTGCCGAGTGCTGTTCATAACCGTGCACTTGGCTTCAACCATTAGCCCTGAGCTGAGATAAGACGGCTTAAAGCGAGGCCATAATCCATAATCCACTCCTTATCAAAGCAAGCAGGTCTCCCTCTTTCTCTCTCCCCCACCACGTAACCGAGAGTGGGTGTCAGGTTGATGAGGTAGAGGATGCACTTGACTGCTCAGGTTAAAGGTGTGCGGCTGGAGGTGAGGTGTGGGAGGTTTAAGAGACTCAAGGCTGAGGCCTGAGGAGGGGTTGGAGCAAAGGGGCAACAGGGAGAGGGGCAGATGTTAAGTGCCGTTGAGGCTGTCACCTCGATGTCCTCGTGGCAGCTGGCATTGTTTAACGCACGGAGCCACTGGGGTGTGGGGGGCGGGGGGGGCAGCTATGTCACATGTACATATGTCAAGTACATAGTGCCGCACTATGCGTTGCAGGCCATCTACAAAATCCATTAATCCGTCAAGAGCCCGTCTGTGCGCGCATTTGTGCTGGGAGGCAAGCTGAAGAATGAGAAGATCTGGATGTTGCTTTAACAGCCAGATAAGAGACAGAGAGGAAAATACAAAGAGATAAAATGCACCAGAAAAATATGAGACTTCAGAAAAGAGCAACGGAAAAAAAAAAAAAAAAAAGGTAGGAAGATAAAGGGAGAGCAGACTCAAGGGCAGTGTGAGGGGGTGTTTAAATGTGGTTCTACCTGGCGTCCTTCGGTCCTCCACAGGCCGTTGCTAGTCTTTGTTGGAGCAATGGTGACTACAGGTGGAGTGTTTGGCACACTGTGGCCCGCTGGGGGAACCAGGACGGGTCCTGGACCGAGGGGACCCCTCTTGGGTGTACTGACTGGAGAGCTGTGGTTGGTGGCCGGGGAGGACACGGGAGATGACTCGCTGCTGATGGAGGACGCAGCTGGAGGAAGAGACGGAGACAAATGGCGAGTGAGTAAGGCGAAAGAAAACCCATAAAAATAAAGAATGCCGATAGTTTGTTGTTGTCCCTCTGCTAATAAACGCCAAATGTAACGGCACGATGATTCTGTAGCTTCTTCACAAGAGAATAAAAAAAAAAACGGGGTTGCGGCACTACAATAGCAATAAATAACGTCCACACACACACACACACACACACACACACACACACATATAGGACCAGATGGATGGCCCTAGGCCCCTATTATGAAGTGACAGTGATCAGGATGAGCAGCCCTGTGAGAGTCACACAGCCTTGACATGCAGGACACACACACACCGTAGGAACACACTGCTTGAGAGCGAGCAGCCATACTGTATGTATGTATATGCGGTGCTTGCAGCCACTCAGCAAACTACACCTCCCCTCCCTCCCTCCCCTCCCTCCCTTCCTCCCCCGCCCACCACACACACACACGCACAGCAGGTGGTGAAAAGCTGGCCCAATGAGCTTCTCTGCTGTGCTGTAGCTGTGCCACATTAACAAAGCCCTCAAGGGAAACCCTGTAGCGCAGGGTCACAGTCTGGTCACATGCCTTGCTTTCCACACATCTCGCTTTCTCTCTCTCTCTCCAGTTCCAAAGCCCTCAAATGATATGCTCACATCCACGTCCTTACATCACTGCAATTTCATCATGCCAACCTTACAATTTTACCCCCCTCTCTCTTCCCCTTCCCCTTCCCCCTCCAGTACAGGCTACACCTTCTGTTCCTCCCCATCTTTTCCCCTCTTTTCCCCTCTCCTGCGTTTTAACCTGTGTGTTGCCCATATTTCCCCCCCCAAGCCTCTGCCTCTTCTCCTGACAGTACAGTGTGCTGCACGTCTCAGAGCAAGTGCAGCATTACGCAGTCAAACTGGGTCACAACCCTCTCAATGGGACACACACTTTCGATGCTGCAAAAAAAAAGGACAGCAAGAGATGTGTGTGTGTGTGAGCGTGCAGGTAAGAGCGCTTTTGTGCATCGACGTGCTGACATGCAGCCATGTTTAAAAAAAAAAAAAAACGACCACCAAAAACAAAACAAACAAAAAAAAGGCAACTGAAACCTCAGGCCAGTTTCAGGTCTGCCTCCTCTCCAATTATCACCATCAAAACGAAAAACCACAGATCTCTACTGAACCGCCATTTCTTCCCTGCTACGGTTTCCGTGGTAACATAACCTAACAGACAACATCAGCTTATGATAGGTGCGGCCGGGAAGTTGACTGATTTTCAAACACTTAATTCTGACTAACGCCGCTAAATAATGGAAGGAATCAATATTGGCAGCGAGGTGGCATCGAGAGAAAAATCAGAAAAAAAAAAAAATCTATGTGGTGGTAGGACCGGTGGAGGGGAGGAGGAGGAGGAGGAGGAGGAGGAAGAGAGGGGGGTTGGGGGTGGTGAGGAAAAGATTGTGATGATACATGTGAGGTGAGACATGAAAATGAAAAATGATAGGAGATGGGGAGTGATTGGGAGAAAGAGAGAAAAAAAAAAAGAATACAGCGAGTAAGAGTGCAAAAGAGGTGTGAGGTGAGGCGAGAGATGGAGCGGAAAGGAAAGCAGAGAGATAAGGGGTGCAGATGGGTGAGTGGGAGGTGGGAGGGTGGGGAGGATATTGAGGGGGGGGGGCAGTCATATCTTGTCTGCACAATGGCAATTAGTGGCCTAATCCTCCCCCCCTCCTCACCTCGGAGAGCCATTACTCTCCCCTGCAAAGACTAGGCCAATCAATAGCGGCCCACTCAGTCTGGGGAATGGAGCTACACTTAATACAGCTCTAGTGTCACAGCCTATTCACTCATCACACACACTCGCAACATGCATGTGCAAGGATGAGGAGGGGGGACAAATAAAGCTAGAGGGAGGGAAAAAGGTAGAGGAGGGGTGATCACAGTGATTCTGAACTGCTAAGCAACAGACCTCTATTTCTCTCTCACCCCCACCGCCTCCTCCTCCCTCTCTCTCTCCCCCCATCTCCTCCTCTTCCTCCTCCTTTTCCATGTAGAAGGCAGAGCAGACCAGAGAAGAGGCAGGGCAGACTAAATAATTAAGAGAGCGGGAAGAGAAGCAGGTGAGGGGAAGAAGGAAATAAAAGAGACAAGGGGCCGTCTACCAGCGGCTTCATTCTCTTCTGTGTACACTTCACGGCGTCCTTCCTTGATGCACACACACCAGAAAGAAGAAGAAAAAAAAAACACAAACAGCTATTATTCCTCTATCAGTCCCTCCTCCTCCTCAAACAACACCCCACGCAGCCACCCACCCACCCACCACCTCTTCATACACCCTCCTTCATTTTCCTTCTGTTCGTCAAACGCAGCGCCTGCCAGCCAGACGTAGATCTGTCAGACTCAACGCACCATTTTCATAAACACATTTACAACGCCGAGAGAAGCGGTTGCATGTTTGCATGTGCTCATTTATGTATGCTTCCCTTTATCTTCCTGCTTAAAACCGCAGAAAGTCATGTGTGTCCATAAGCCTCTTTCATCAAGCCCTCCTCAAAGGTTTCTTCTCGTACCGTTTCGAAACCACCACTGCCCCCCCCTCCCCTCCTCAGATTTCCATACCAAATGCATCACCCCCACCACCACCTCCACCCTTATAGCATACTGCCCCGCGATAGGTGAAAAATCATATATACGAGGCATGTGACTGGCACCAACTTGGTGTCATTTGTGCCATATGCTCCTCCCCTTCCATCTATACAGAGAGAGAAGATGGCCACACATGCTGGCCCTGTAGGGAGCGAGAGGAGGCAGAACGAAGCACAAGCCCTCGTCCCCGGAGTCTGAAATAGGCTCATCAGCTCTCAACCTGCACTTCATTAGCAGTACTGATTGTCACTCGCATGGTGTGTTGGGGTGTGTGTGGTGTGATGATGGGGTCGGGAGGGGGCTGCAGAGAGAGAGAGAGAAGTGGAAGAGACAGAAGGAAAAGAGAGGACGAAAGAGAGAGAATGCTGTCTTAGTCCCAAGCTGTGTGTGATTAATGTGAAGCTCCTTTCTCTATCGCCTCCTCTATTACCAGTCCCACTCTCCCAGACTGCCTCCACACTTGACCGCTCAAGCTGAGCCACACATGCGCACACACACACACACACACACACGAGATACAACCAACAGCAGCAATAAACAAACAAACTAAGCTGTGGTCAGAGGCTGTGGCCGAGCGTCCCTGCGTTGACGCCACCTTGTGCCTCAGCCACTGACCCGGTGAAAAAGTTGCCACGGCTCTTCAGGAGGCCATTTCATTTGTTGGGGGAGTCCAGTAGCTGCAGCAGAGAATCTTACTGAATCTCTGGAGCTCTGATAGGAAGACACACATTTTTTCAGTATTGCCAAATAGCCTCTTCCACTCCTCTTCAGCTACCACCACCACCACCTCTGTCTGAACAGCCGAGTGTAGCCAGCCCTGCCAGGCAGAGGCTGCTCTCCTCCACCCCACCCCACCCCACACCTCCTCCACCACCACCCTCCTCCCCTCCCAGCATGCATTACAACAACATCAGCACTTAATTAAACAGTCCATTTCACACCTGGTGTGCATAGCAGTGCCCAGCCAACCCTGCATCCATATGCCACCCTACCAGCACAAGCCTCAACACGTGCACTCTAACACTCAAACACACTGATGCACACAAACACGGCACACACCTGCTACTACAGTCTTGGCCATGCACTGACAACACAACACAAAGCCTGTAATCTGCATCACTGAGTTGGGGGAGGGGAGAGGCACACAGTGTGTGTTGCTGTGCCAGTGAGAGAAAGGAAGACGGTACAAGATGGCGGATGGAAATAAGAGGAGCAATCCTCTGTGCCTTGTGCTGACTGTACAAACTGTACATTATGCTTAAATGCTGCTTCACTACTGAGCAGAGCTGTGAGAGGTGTAAGGTTGCTGTATATAGAGACTGCAAGGGAAGGGGGAAGCAAATGAGCTTGTTTGTGAGTGTTTCAGGGACAGTCATGGCCTGAAGGGTTTTGCCTTTGAGAAACACACACGCAACACACACACACATACACACACGCACACACACACGCGCACAACACACTGAGTACAGCGAGGCTGTGTGAGCTCCAGGCAGGCTCCAGATGGAGAGGTCAGAGACACACTGCCCCGCTGTCCCAGCATGCTCTGGGCTCCCAGAAACAAGGGAAGCCTCCGGCCACACACATACACATGCAGATACACACAATCTGACCAACACCGCAGGTTTTCACAAATCTACTAATTACTTCCTATTCCTCTTTTTTCCAGCCAGTTCGTTCCATCTATCTTGTATACCTTTATTCTCCCTCTCTTCATTCTCTCTCCAGGCAGTGTGCTACAGTCGCTCCGAACACAGCCATGAAACTCTTGTGGTGTTTATGTCTAAGAGTGAGTGAGAAGAAACAACTCAGAGGATTAAACTCAGATCTGCCTAATTAATCAGATATCAGCAGGTCTGCCTTTTTGTGGCAGTGTGTTATCTGTGCCTGCGTGTGTTTGCTTGTATATGTGAGTGCTATAGTGTGTTTTCATGCGAGTGTACAATGGATGAGAGTGTGTCCTTTATGCTGCTCCGATACTCATTATCCATCACCTCCCCTCTTCAGCGCAGCACTCAGTACACAGAGCTATTCATTATACTCGCCACAGACAAGTGACGATGTATGTGTCTGTGTGTGCGAATGGTTGTGTGGGTGTGTATATAAACAGCAGCCGTGCTCAGGGTCTTAAATCAGTTCAGCAGCCGGTGGCAGTGATACTAGTGCTCAAACCTAACTAATTCCTCAAGGCCTTAGGACACTGAGTCATGACACCTCATATATACTGCACTACTCACCTCAAAGCATCAACCAGAGGGTGAGGGAGAAAGAGAAAGAGAGGTTGAGTCAAAAGGTAATGAAAGGACAGCAGGCTGCAGCATGCAAAAAGAAATCACGAGGCTTACACAGTTGCAAAGACAACTGTTTGTATGTGTGGGGGTGTTTGGGTGTGTGTTGCCTATAAATACAGGCTCTGCAGACAGAGAAGTGACTTGAACTCCGGGAGCCTCATGTCTCGCTGCCCACCCTGGAGCCGGTGCTCCTAACACGGGCAGTCGCCCCTTATGCCTGACGGCTGACTCACCCACACATCACTACCTACTCCAACCAGGCGGTACAGTCAGCAGGGCCTCAGAAATAACAAAGGGGCTTTTTTGTGCTTTTAATAAAAAAAAAGGTGGTAGAGCTTTATCAGACAGGATCCGGTGTCTGTTTGTATGACAAAGACACAGACAGGAGCTCTCTGCTTTGGCAGATTGTGAATTACAAATAGAAGTGAACACACTTATTCTCACCTTGCTACACAATGGAACATAAAAAAAAAGCAAAATGTATTAAAAAAAAAAAAAAACATGACTAAGAAAACCCTATCCTTGTGCTCTCCAGCTGCAACTGACACAAAAAGGAGAACATGCAACAGCGATAGGAAAAAATAATCCAATAAAAAAAGAAGAAAAAAAAAGGTGAATCCACAATAAAAATGAAGAGACAGGACTGGACTGTGGAAGTAGGTTTTTGTGTGACAAAGGTAAAAGTGAGAAAGCACTTCGGCCGGCTGTGCAGGGTTGAAGGAGTGAAGAGAGATGAAGGGGAGAAGGACTGAGAGGGAGGTGAGGAGATGTTGGGTCTGGGCGCTCTCTGTATGTGGGTAATAAATCATCTGCAGGATTCTGGGTCCCAGACTGCAGTGGGCTGGGGAGCAAGGTGTCCAGGGACAGCCAGGAAGGAGGGGACCATCTGATTTAAGAGCCAGAGCAAGGGTGGACAGCTGGGGTAGCTGGGCCTCTCTGGAGCCAAGGCACAGAGCCACACATGCATATGCACACCACACACACACATGAATGTACACAAACTTCACAATGAGAATATTCTAACTCAGGCTCTCCTGTGCAAAATTTTGCTTCCTAAGCTTGTTTGTATGTTTATGCGTGCATAATTAAACACTTGGGCACATGAGTTTAGAAAGTGCTGGTTATATGTTATATGTGTTTTAGAGACCTGTTTTGCATTTAGGAAACAACACCAGAAACAAAGAAGAACTTACAAATCCTGCCCTGAGCACATACACAAATAAATTTGCATGGACCTTTGAACGATCAGCCTTAAAGGGACAGTTCAGAAGCAAGTGCTGAGTGATTGCCAGCGTAGCCGATTATCCGTATTGTTATTTTGTTCAGCTGATTCCAGATAAAATAACATTAATTTGCAAGGGCACTACTTAACATCTGATGTAACTGCCTGTGTCTGTATTGGTCACTGTGCTTCCTTGTGCAATGTCCCACCCACAGCAATATCTGATTGGTCACACATGATGAGTAATAGCCTATCAACACTGACGCATTAATTTTGAATTCAGTTCCAACAAAGTTTTGAAGTTTGTGGTGTTTCAACTTTCACATCACGATTTTCATTTTAACTGCAAATGCATATCCTAACTTATAAAGTCTAAATATCGGTCTAAATGATCGCAAATAATTAGTATCAGCCCAGAAAAAAACATGTCTGTCGACCCTGAGTCAAAAAGTCCAAATGTTAATTTATTACCAAGTAGCTAAACCACTTAATGCTTTTTTCCCCCATATTTATACAACCACAGGACAGAGCTGCGGGAGATGGGATTTCTATTGGATGTTACATGTGTGTAGCCACCGACAAGGAGGTATGTATGATGGGGAATTGGAGAGCCAAGATACACACTCCGACATGCACACCCCAAGCGTACGTGGACTCACACACAGCACATTAAGTGGGTCAGCTAGAGTGGCTCCTCTTCATACCAGTATCTCCAGGGACACCAACTAATTCAATCCTGTGAGGATATCACTTCATTGCTATTAGCAGTTCTGCACAGCTATACATGTTGCCCCCCCCGGCCCAAACGGCAAACCACACCCTGTAAGTTAGTTTTATGACATTTCAAAACACGGTAATACCAGTTAAAGTAAATCTAACTACTGCTAGCAGTAAAAAAGCCAAAAAAAAGAAACTGTTTACAGTCGCAAAAATGACACATGATCCAACGATAAATTCCCACTAGTCCCACTAGTGGAAACAGAAATACTGTTAACATTTTCTTCATTAATTATAGAACAAAAATGCTGCCATCCAGAAGACGTAAACTTGACAGCTTTTTCCTGCACATGTAGCAATGAAACGTCTGCACAGTAGTGACTTTAGCCAGGTCCACAAAGCACAATGCCAAAAGGCCCCAAAGTTGCCATCATTCTTTCTGTAAAGCAAACGCTCTTTCCTGATGTAAAGTTAATTTAGACTTACACCAGAGCTGACATCAACTCAACAGTGCAGACTCGCAAATTTTTCGGTAGGTGTCACACCCATGTTTTACAGGCTGGGTGGCTTTACCTCGAGGTTCTTCCGCCTGTTTTGCCAGCTTACGGAGGGCAGCAGCAAATCCAGAGTGAGCTGACTGGGCAGCTGGGCTTCCATTGGCTACGATGGAGCCGTTGAGAGGCGACGGAGTGAGGGGGCTGACCGTCGCCGTGGTACGGGTCGCCGTGGAGATCATTCCTAACGATGGTGACTTTGGCTCATGGCTCATGCCTACACATGGACAAAAAAGGGAGGAGAACGGAGAAGTATGATTAATTAAAACTGCATTAGCATGAAAAGAACGAGCAAAAAAAAAAAAAAAGTGTCATTAAAAATACCTCCTGCCCAAAGGCAAACACTTATACTGCAATAAATGCGCAAAGACCAAAATGCAGGCAAATATATGCAAACAGAACAAGGCACATAGCTGTTTCCTTGGACACAGAAGACCGCGAGGGCAGAGTGTGGTGCCGGGTATCTGTTTGTGACAGCTGGGGAGGATGGGGATTGGTGGTGAGGGGCACAGCGGCTGCGGTTGTATGGCTTAAGGTCAGAGGTGAGAGGTTAGGAGAGCAGGTCAGCCTTCCTTTGCTCAAAGAGCTCCAGTGGACTTCCAGAGGTCCATGGTCACAGAGTTTACACAACAACTCTACTGAGCATGCTCCAACATGACCGGGGGGTGGGGGGACTTTATTTCTTGGTGGCAATATGTCATAGTGCCATGTATGTTAATAGATTCAGTCAAATGTAGCAAACAACCACCTCATTGGCTCTCTCACATCATTTAAACTTGATCCAATTAACGCTGCCACAGGGTTCTACTTAATGCCCTCCTCTAATCAGGATGTAAAAGGGAAAAAATGCCAGCTAGGATATTTCTTTGTTCAGTTTTTAAAAGTTGTGAATGACAACCGGACTCTTTCGAGTCAAGAGAGCATAAAATGATATGTATAAACCATTAGCACAACCAACAGGAGGAAGAAAGGTCAGCGCCATATTATAAAGAGATGGACGGGATCAATATATTCAGAGAATTTTTATGGCAGCCTGGGCTCAGACTTACAGGAGCTCAGTGGCGGTTGCAGAGGTAGAAAGGGTAAGGAGGGCTGAGACGGCTGTCCCTTTCCTTCCTGTGTGTATGTGTGTGTGTTGAAAAGTGACACCATGTTGACAGCCCCTCGCTCAGTGGAATCCCTGAATGCCAGAGCGGAGTCTGATAGCTCGATGTGCTCAGGCAAAACACACACACACACACACACACACACACACACACACACACACACACACAGACTGAGGGTAGCTCGGAGGACAGTGGGAGTTCAGACGGGCGTAGTGTGTGTGAGGTATTAACCGTTACACCAAAGCACACACACACACACACGCTGGGGGATTGTTCAGAATCCTCCTTAAATAAACATTCAAAAGTAAACTTCCAGCGACCGCATCTAAGACAAAGACGGCGAAACTGAAGTTGCTCGGTGTGTATCAATAGCACAATTAGATAAGTAGGAGTTATATCTGGGTTTACCCCAGAGGCTGAGAGGGCTATAAAAAGATCATGTTCCCTCCTGAGAAGAGTGTCGAGGCACAGCACCCTGGTGTGTGTGTGTGTTCGAGTGGACACACAGCAGCAGCAGCAGCAGCAGCAGCAGCAGCAAGTCAGACATGAGAGAGAGTGAATAGCATTCCCAACACCTCTTGAGTTGTCCTGCCTGTAACCTCCCAGTTACCCAGTGCACTTTGAATGAACCCAGCAAACAATTAATAATGGAATCAACAATGACGACTACTGAACAACGCACACAGCGCCATTGACAGACGGGCAAACAGGCAAAACACACACACACACACACACGGCGTCCAGTCCCAGTCCAATAACGTGACTTTGTCAAGACAATCGAGCAGCTACTGCTCCTCCCTCCCTCCCCTCTTTAGAGAAAGTCAGAAAAAAGTCAGACAAGCTTCACACAAGCAACTTTTTTGCAACGCACTACAGAGACAGATCGCACTGTATTTTAAGACTGTATTGACCACACACAAGAAAGAAAAAAAAAAGAAGAAGAAGAAAACCACACAAACGGAGAGGCGCGCGAGTTGAAAGAAGAAACAGACGGGAGCTTGACAAACACACACACACACACAGAGGCACACATCCGGAGGTCTTGCGGCGGTTCACGAACCCCCCTCATAGATTAAAAGCGTGGCCGAAGCGCCTTACTGCACAAAGGAGTGGAGCCGCCTGGATCCCCCATGGCTGCATCTTCACGTTGAGCCCAGCCCAGTACACACCGGCGGCGGCGACCGACAGGACACACACCATCTTCCTTCTCCCCTCTCTCTCTCTCTCTCCCTCTCTCCTTCTTTCTATCTCCTCTTGCCCGTCCACCCTCTCCCTCCCTGCCTGCCTGCCTGCCTGCCTGCCTTCCTGTCTCTCTCGTTGCAGCTCACAAAGACCGTTTAGAGCTTATCTAACAAAGCAACACACCACACACGCTGCCTATCTCTCCCCTCCTTGCTCTCTCTCTCTAAGTGAGAAAACAGAAATTCTTAGGCTAGCAGCTGCTGCGATGTCACATGACCTCACCTCCCCCCTCCTCCTCCTCCTCCTCCTCCTGCCCTCCCTCCTCACACTCTCCCTCACTCCTCCTCCTCCTCCTCCTCCTACTCCTCCTCCTCCTCCCCTCTCAACCTATAATTCCTCAGCCATTTGTAGATAACAGACACAGGCATGCATGCCCTGCCAAGGCGCACTGGAGGAGGGGGGGAGGGGAGGAGGAGGAGGAGGAGGAGGAGGAGGAAGAACAGGGGAGGGCGCTCAGCCGGTCACCACATCTGACCCCATTGCCGGGGAGCGTCGTCCAGCGTTTATGTGTATATGCATGGGTGAGGGAGGGAGGGAGGGAGGGAGTGGGGGCAAGGTAGGCGTCCTTTTGCTTCTTGAGGCAAAAAATAGAAAGAAGAGAAAGAAAGAGGACATGTCCCGGCCTGTGTCAAGTCCCACAGCACAGGAGAGGAAACCTTTTGTGTCGGAATATTTTGCCTCGCACTCGGCTCACTTTGCTTTATTTGCATAATTGCTCCTCCACAATCCTCATCAAGACCAAACTAAAAGGGAAAGTAAGGCGTCCCAAACAAAACGAGGAAACGCATTCTTTCTACATCAACCATTACACGCAAACAAGGAAGTGGTACCAAAAACAACCTAACCTTTACAGTACACACACACATGCTCGTGCGCTACTACTAGGAGCTGTTATCAGGGTGGAGGAGACTAATGTGTAATAGTTGTCGGGGGTGGAGGGCTCAGGAAAAGGGTAAGAGCGTGGGTTTGACTTCCCCTCTGTCTGTCCTGCTGTCATTGCAAGGGTGTGAATGAGTTGTTTCTTTAGTCATTTCCTCCTTCCGTCACTTGCCACTTTTCTCAGAAGAGCAAGAAGGAGCGAGCGACGACAGGGAGAGACAGATAATCTTCTGGGTAAAGACGCACGGCGGTCAGCGTCGTGCCAAAGCCCACCTCTTGTAAGGAAAAAAAAAAACAGTTCCTTGGCCTGTCTCCCTTGAGGAAACACAGGACTGCCACACTCTCCACTGTCTTTACACCCCCCCTTTCCTGTTTAACATCATCAAGATCACACAGCTGGTTTTGGAGATTAGCGTGTAATTGAAGAATAAAACAACCACAGGTCATATCATGACAGGTAAGAGAGAAAAGGAGGAGGGGGTGCAGGTGCTAATATAGATTTCTTTTGCTCATTCGGTCTCCCTCTGCTGGCACTCGAAAGCAGAAGCACCACTCGGCCCAGTGGTACACAATTTCCCTAATTCAAGTTTCTATTACCTGTCAATTCTGTACTGTGTCATGTCCAGTAAGAGCAAAAAATACCCTTTACGAGAAGTCGGTGTAACTCTACATTAACAGATGAAGTCACTTCTAGAAGGTCAATAAGCAGCACTTCTTCCCAATCAGCCGCTATTTCAAGAACAACACAGACAAACGCTTGCATCCATCCGAAGATGACAAAACGACAGGATTAAGTGGGAAATCAATGACGGTATTCGGCTGCGTGGGCGAATGTGGTCAAACGAGAAAGAGCTGTCCCTTCTCTCCGCTTCCACATTTCCGTCTAAACTGGAAAAAAAAAAAAAACCCACAAGCCGTGCGAGCGAGGGCGCTGCGTTCAGAGTAAGTAAAGATGAATTCTATGATCTAAGCAACCCAGGATGAGTAATGTCTTATGAATTTCCAGATAAGTGAGCCTGCCTCCACCTCTCAACATCACTCAGTTGCAACACACACACTTGCTCAGTAAGTTGAAGCAGTCTCTGGCCACTACGCTCCTCAAACGTCCAGCAGATGGCGTTGTCTCACAGTGAATCGGGGGGGAACTCCTCCGCCAGCATATGTCACAGTCCCCATAAGCAGTGACACACAAAAGGAAATTAGATTTAAATGATCCTGTTGCGTACGGAAAGGACGCGGGCTGAGGTTAAGAACCCCCGAGTTCATAAGAGACGGGCATATATTAAATCTTCTGGCGCAAAAGTTTAACATTTCTGCTGACGACCCCAAAGGGTTAAAGGAGTGTGTTACACGCCAAGCTTCCTGATGCAATTAACCCTCTGAATGCCATTAAGCCCTAAGGGACAACAAAACAAAGCCCTAAAAAAAGGAACGTAGATTACAACACACCACATACAAACATGATACCGCCCCATACACACACACATACACACACATGTACAAACACACACACTCACTCACTTACGCACACACAACAGATTGACTGTTAAATGGCATACAGTAAACACACAGTTTTAACACCCAGCTGGGAGAAAAGCCGATCACTAACTCCCATAGTCAAACAAACACACTGACTGACACACACACACACACACGCAGTTTCACCCTTTTGCTGGTTGGAATGCCGATTACTCACACACACACTCACACACACACACACACAAAGTAAATCCTCTTGGCTCCTGTATGCCCTGGCCAGTGGAGAGATAATGCAGTGGCAGCTCTAGCGAATGGTTAATCTTTAACCAGGAAGGGATTTGCCTATCAGCTTGTTAAAACTACCGGTGCAGCGCATCTGATCCAGTCGCCAAACCTGGCTCGATCGAGTCCGGCGCAGCACGGACCAAAGCTGCCTACAACCGTCGCGTATCCATCCGTGTTTTTACTTCAGACACCTCTTTTCTCATGGCTCGGTAAAAGCCACACTTTA